TCATTCCCTGCGGGAAACCGTAAAGTATGCATAATCAAGCAGAATTTATCTTAATACGTGCTGCGTATGCCCGCCCGCAGTGTCGGGACATCATGACACAATGCGCGCGTCAAGCGCCGGTTAAGGTCACGGACACGTGCTCACGCCTTTCATTGTTCTGGCCGGCCAGTCTTCACCCCTGGCTAGCGAGTTCACTCCTTTCCCCATTCTGACTGGCCAGCCTTCGGCCTATTACACTTATCCCACAACATATACATCGCGGTGCCTACATGGCATTCTGCCTACAGGCAGCCTTCTGTTTTACATATATCACATTCTTCCTGCGTACGAACTGCCATCTGTTTTCAATACACAACAAGACGGATGTGAATTTACTAGCCCTTCTGTTCTGCGTTCAGATCATCTAACTTCTCAGATGTCACAGCACTTTAAAAGTAGGGAATTCCGCAGAGTAATGGCCAACTAAGTTTTGATTGAACTATAGCGTTGGGGTTGTTTTTGACAGCTTCCACCTTTTGTCTCCGAACTAGGCTTCATGATATGATTTTAGCCGGAATGCTTTCTGAACACTCTTATATGGTTCGTTTCGCAAGATCAGGAAATTTAAAACCGTAGTACTTACCCATGGTCTCTTTTGAAAAGTGTCCAACTTGTGTTATTGCATAATATAAAATCACTGCAACCACGCAAATGGGATCCTAGCCAGCTGTGGCGGCACACCTAGGAGCGGCTTCGGCCGCGTCAGCCCCCTGCGCCCTCTCCCACCTTCGCTACTCTGGACACCGAGCTCAGGTGGGTAGGGGAAAGGAGAGTGCGGTAGATGTAGCGCACGTCTTCTTTCACGTAAAACTAATTCGCGCGCAAGTTACCGTCCCTATACCACCCTGTTTTGGAGCATTCGGTGGATACCGTCGAAATCGGCGGTCGAACTTTCGGTGAGTATTGGTGCCTTGCAATTTTGGGGCCTGTTAAGGTCCCAATAAAGTGTGAACCTGCTTTTTGAATTTATGGAAGCTTAACGTCTTCCTTTTTGTTTTTTTTAGAACGGAATGGAATGGCTCATACAGGCTGTCAATAGCGACAGCAAGGCCAAATAGTTCCCCCCGTTAGGTGATGCCATGCAAATTCTACTCAATTGCTTGCCCCCTGGACCATGTTCGTGTTCGGCTTTCAGGGCAACTTTTGCTAGTTATGAGTTTTTCTGACTGTGATCCGGCAGTTTTTGCTTTAAGATGAGTTATTTTGCTGTACAGATACTGATGCGACTTGTGATACGCTAATAGACTGGATCTCGAGCAGCCTGACCCTCTGGGTACACTTTAGTTCAATTTTACAAGAAAACCGAAAGACCTGTTGAGCAGTATATATGTGCATACCTCTGTGTTGTGCATAAGTAAGTGTGGATGCAAAACTTCGCGTTCCAGATGTTTGCGCGAGTAAAGGAGGAGACTGGTCGAGTACCCGAACAGTTTGTTTATTGATGAATGAATGCAGGTGTTTCACCGATCTAGTCAAGGAACAATTAAGTGCCGCTTTGCCAAGGAGCTCGCAACGCAAAGTTTGTTTATTATTCTGAGCTTTAGAAGTCGTGCAGATGTTCATTGTCAGAGACAACAACAACAGCAGCAGCAGCAGACGCAGCAAAAAGGCAACAATTATAGGGGATGCATGTTAATCGATTATCAATTGTACAAGCCTGGAGGTGACTGAGTGGGGTTCTGTGCGCCGGCGCAAAATCGATACATCGATTGATTAATTTCTCATCCGTGAGCCAGGCTTCAATCAGTTCTCGACTTGACTTGTTTTCGATGTGGGTGATTATCTTGACGGCTGCGAAGTTGGACTCATGGCCTGTTTCGTAGGTGTGGGCAGCAAATTTAGATTATTTGTCGCCCTGTCGCACAGCCAGATTACGTTCAAGTCTGAGTGACCTGAGCATACGTTCGGTTCGACCTATGTAGTTGCATGAATTGTGTAGGCATGGGATGCGATAAACTACCCCAGATTGATCTTCAGGCTTTAGTCGCTCTTTGACTTTATCCCGTGGCTACGCATGGTAACTTTGGGCCGGTGCGCAATTCCAACATATAATCCCGCAACAATCACATCGGAAAAATGGCTATGAATGTTTCGGGCGGATTTCTCCGGGTCACGGGTGAGCTTGAATGTGACGTTTCCTTTGATGGCACTCAATTCAAGGGAACATGCTACCTTACTAACCGTACGAAGCTTGACTTAATTGGCCTTGACTGGATCAAGGAACCCGTTCTCCTGGATTCGCCACTTAACCGCAGTTGCAATGGTGTGCATTCAACTTGGCCGAGTCTCACCAAATCGAATCAGCTGACAATAACTCTGATGCCAACGCCTCCACCTCCTGCCAAAGTGCTCAAGGAGAAGGAGGAGGAACCAGGAAAGAAGGCGTCAGCGGCTTCCGAGCCCCGTCAAAC